TTTTTAAAATAACGGCGGGGTGGACTTTTTTCTCCCCCCCCCCCCCCCAAAGTACCCTTCTGAAATGCCAAGAATCTTGAGCAGATTTTTCTGCACAACTGATTTTTCCTGGCCTGTGTGCATAATGTGTGCTGTGTGGTTTAAGAGGCTTACCCTGGTGGCAAGATCGGTGCATGATCTATAAAATCCCTTAGTTTGTTTTCGGAGTACAACATGCCAAATCCCTACGAACAATGATGTAACATGTTAATATTTTTTTGTTAAGGAACTGCTGATGGCCCTAAAATAATTTGCTAACATGATTTAGATGTATTAATCCCCATTTTGGTAGCAAAAACTGCTATGGAATAGCGTATCTGTTAGGAAAGAAACAGTGTATACGTGTAAAAGCACAGGTTCTACGAAACATTAAATTTTGCAGAGATATGGGAGTTTCTAGAATGAGTTGCACAATATTAGTAGCAGGTCTGAGAGCAGAGACAAGTGCAGGAAACAGTTATTTAAACAGAATTTTATAATTCAGGACAACAGTATGCTGTTCCGTGACTCAAAGCAAAATTTCTTTGCAGGCTGATTCATTGTATCAGTGAGTCTGATGGTCTGCTCGTTTGTCACAATTAACTAATAATTTATTCTACCTCCCGAGGAATGAAATTTGGCTGCTGTGTATAAAACAGTGACTCACCAGTATTTGCAAAACAAAGTAGATGTTTTCTGTATTTTGTTGCCCATCAGAGTCGGTGAATTATGTTTTGGCCACTCCATGGCAACTACTTCACTGGAGTGTGAATTAATATCGCAGCTCCAGGAGTTGGATGTTAAAATCGGTTCTCACCAGAGACCTTAGTCAGACTATTGTTTTGAATAGTACCATGACACAGCTGTCTTAGAAACTCCTTGAATACATCGACAGTTTCATTTTTTTCTAAAACTGAGACCATTGCATCTTCTACTTAGTTGTAGAGCATGATGTAAAAACTCCTTATCCAATTCAGTCTACAAAAGAATGTATTTTCATGCTTTAGATAATTTCAGTCAATCTTGGAAAATGTAGCTATACAACATACAAAAGTGACAACTCCAACACTCACACACAATATGAGCTGTTGAGAATCACTGTTATATTTACCAACATTTCCATATCCCTGTCAGCCAGTTCTGCACAACTGTTGTCCTCATCATAGTCAGCAGCACCAACAGAGATTCCTCTCCTCTCCCCGGGGGTGATTCTTCTCTTCCAGTTTTACCCTTAGTGTGGCTTCAGCTGGAAGTGTTCCTCATCCCTCATCTTTGGGAAATGGGGGACGTTGCATCTTCCTTCCTCCAGCAGGAGTCATGTGTTCCAGTTGCCAACCCAGCTACCTCAGATAGTGCCAGTAGCGACCGTGGCTACCACAGAACTGACAAGCTTTCTTCCAAACCTCAGGCTGCTTACCTGTCTTCTGGTGTACACTTCAAAGGCTCTCATCTCAGAATTTATCCTCCATCCTGGATACATCCAGGAATATTTTTGAAATTTGCTGTTTGAATGCCTAGGTTACAGTTTGCTATTGTAACTTTGCATCTAAAACTTTAGTTACAAGTCTCAGAAGCTTTTGAGACCCGATGATTCTTTTTCTAGGATGAAATCCATTCTGCTTTCCAAAACTGAGGAAGCCCAAACCAGTAAAGTTTATTTAACTAAGTGGTATTTCTGTTTACAGATTGGGCGGAGACTGAGGCTGCACCGTGAGCTTACCTTTCCCAGTTGACGCACAGTGGGGTTATGGGTTTAGATAAATCATGGAAGGAAGGTGAGGAAGGCTTGCAGGCACAGCGGTGGGGCTGTCTGCCTGAGCTGCCTCTCTCTCCCTTCCCAAGCTGATGCGAGTCCCTCTACCTCACCAAGCCTGGCTTTGTGATGGCATGGAGGAACCACCCATGCCATTGATCAGGGAGAGACCCTCGGCCTTGCAGGTGTGCTTCTGGGTGCTGTTGGAGCCAGTTTACTCAGGGTGCAGCAGCTGGCTGTGTACACAATCAAATGAAGGAGTGGTAAGAGCCCAAGGAAAGCAAGAGCTAAGACAGGGGAGGGGAAAAGCCAATCTATCAGCAAATCACTTGGAAACTTGTGTCCCCGCACGCCCGAGCCACCATCCTGAGTGCTGCTGCACTTTGGTAAATTAGACTGCAGTGTCTCAGGTTGCATAGTCCTCAAGTTGCTCATCAACCTGAGTGTTGGAGCATCTCCTGACAGTGGTGAAGTGGTGAAGTTTACAGAAGAGAGTCAAAGGGTGAGAAAACAAAAAAGATCTGACACAGGAGTACTGAGTCAGTTTGGATCTTTAAGGGTAAACCTTTTTCTGATGTTTTATTGGCCGTGCTCTCCAACACATCTTGCTTGGTGTAGACAGAAGGTAAAGCTTTCTTTAACCTTTCTGGAATTAGAAACGTAGGCGTAATTTGAGTCTGGATTTTTTTATGCACCCTTCTGTCATATGAGCTACGACCTACATCTTAGCACTGAAATAGGGAGACTTCAGGAAAGATGAGGTGTGGCAGGGAAGAAGAAAGAGCTTTGCTTGCTTTGTGACACACAGATCTCTGGAGCCAGGGGGGACCGTGAGGGGCCTCTAGTCAGTGGGACCCAGGGTATGAGGAGGGTTCTACCTTCACTGATCCAGACAGACACTTGCCTAAGCTCCTCCTCTGAGACTTCACAGCCTCTGAGGTGATCTGCTCTGGCGTTTCACTATTAGAAAGTTTCTCCTACCATCCACTCAGACCCCACCTTCTGCAGTTTAAGCACGCTGCTTGGTGGTCTGTTTGCTACAGAGAGGGAAGGCAGATTATTCCCTTTCTCTCTGCAGCAATGTTTTGGGTATTTGCTACGTCTTGGTTGTTTTTTCCTTAGCCCAATCAGTTCTCTGAAGCATTGCTTGGAGGTCATTTTTAGAGATCTCCAGCACTGTTGGTCTGGTTTTTTTGCTGTCACTGGGGAGTTGGGACCTGGATATGGTTACAGTTCACTCACTGATGTTTGCGGTGCTGAGCGGAAAGGATGAATGGCATCATGTATCTTGCATCAGAAAATCTAATTATGGATTCTGATAGGATATTTCCCATCTTTCCAATGGCATAACTTTGCTGATTCATATTTTGGTCCATTTTGCATTTGCTTTATTGATGTTTTTTTGCTTACATGTAGAAACTTGCCCACAGCCTTACTGCATTGCAACCTGTTTTTCTCAGGCCATTTCTCTGATTCTTTAAAATAATTTTGAAGTGTTATCCTGTTTTCTAATGTACTTGTGGTTCTTCTCAGCTTTGCATTATCTGCACGTTTACCAGGTACATTTCTATCCCATCACTGATTTCACCAATGAAAATTTTTAGTTGTATGACAGCAGGACCCATTCATTGAATATATCTTGCTGGTTTGATGGTGAACCACTTCCCAGGGTGTGATTCCCCCCACCCCGACCAATTCTGCATCTACCCCAAAGCAGTTTCATCTAGACCTCATTCCTTCATTTGCTTACAAAAACATCCTGCAATTGCCAAACATGTCACCATTTGAGCTGATACCAGTGGCTTGGTAATGATGTGAAGAAAATGTCCTCGTCTTCACCTTGTGGTTGCTGAGCCAAACCAGTTCTGTCCCTAAATAGGCAGAAAACGAACCAGTGAAAAATAAGTGAGGAGGTGCCTGCAGGTTCAGCAGGTTGACTTGGCCCAATAAAGAGTCTGGGGAGCAGCAGAGGTGCTGGCAGGGAGGGGATGACCCTCAACCACAACATGTAACTTCACACTCAGCCAGCGTCAGGGTCTTACCAAAGCCTAGAGGTAAGGTTTACCACTTGCCCATGAGGAGAAAGGTTGAGTTTGCCTGTAAGATAAAGAACTGGGAGGCAAATACAACTGACAACCTTCATTATTTTCCAGCTAATTATAACTTAATAATAAATAATGTTGAAGACTAAAGTTATCTTAGGTAATGTTCTTTAATCAGATGATTTTTTGTGCTGCTTTTTTTTGTGTGAGAACACCCTGAACATACTTGCTCAGTCAACCACAATTCATTAATTAATACGAGTGACAGCTCTATGTACTGAATCACTGAAAAGTGATTCAAAAAATGTCATACCATTCTCACACTTGTTCTCTCTCGCTTGCCTTGATATCAAGCTTACTCCACAACAAGGTGGAAAGATGGGATTTTTCATGTCAACCACCCCACTGGCTCCAGGCTCCCAGCAGGGGCCTGGTTCAGCTCTCATTCAGAGGCAGGTGAGAACGTTCAGATTCAGTGCTGGTGTTTTGCAACCCTTCTGTCTTCCTGTTTTCTCCTCTCAAACAAGATAGTGCCCACCCAGTAATGTTGACACAAGTGGAAACTTGTTCCTGGAGGAGCAGCCAGCAAGTGGTGGGGCAGTGTGGAAGCCGAGGCAGAAAGCGATGGTGGCAGAGGGCTGGTGCAGCCTTGGGCTTTGCTGGGTCAGTGGTTAAAAGAGAAAGAGCAATTTACAAATTCAGCACAGTCAGTAAGGGAGAGAATTAGACATAGTATTATATTTATACTCTTTCTTGAGGCCAGAGCTGGGGTTTAAAAGCACCTTGGCTGTGATGTTAGTCTTGCTTATGGCTTTGGTCTGTGCCCAGTAGCAGGTGAGTGGAAGATTTCATTCCTTATTGTAAGAAATCCAACTCATTCCCATTATCTAGAGAAGAGAAGAGAAAAAGAGAAAAGAAGATTTACTTCTTTCCTGTTGACTAACCCCTGCCAAAGTTTCCCAACACCACAATTGCATTGAATCTCAGTCTAAACACTTGCCTTCAGATGCTGCCCCCTGCAAAGGGGTAGCTGGAGAGCTGGAGTTTGCTGATGGGCTGAAAGCTGTCCCCTTCGCCACCTGAGAGCAGCCGGACATGCCCATCCGGTGCCGGGCAGATCGCCCTGTGCCAGGAGACAAAGGGAGCCATGTCTGAGCCACGCTGAGGCTGCGCTTGCCGGAAGAAACCTAACAATTCTTATTTACCAAATTGACAAAATCCTATCATCGCAATTAAGGGGATATGTAATTAACTGTGTCTTAATTACAGCAGCTGCCACTTCATCTGAATGCAGCAATTTGCAGAGAAACCGGGGGAGACGCTTTAAATTCATGTGTGTACACAGCGCAAGCACAAACAGCGCGGCGTGTGTGGCTCCTGGGGGGTGATGCCCTGCCCCGGGGAGCACGGAGTGAGGGCTCGGGCTCGCTGGCTGCTGGCCTGCCTGGCCAGGGTGGCCTCTGCAAACGCCTTGGGGAGGCAGAGCTTTTGAAAACCCTGCTATGGACCAGGGGGTTGCAAGCACTTTGCTCCACCTGGGCTTGCTGGGCTGCAGGGCTGAACGTTGCCCATTGCCCCAAGGACCACCCGATACAGAAACCTTTTTAAAGACCTTCTTATTCCTGACTCCTGGCCTCTACTGTTTGAGAGTAATTTCATAGAATCATGGAATCGTTTTGGTTGGAAGAGACCTTTAAGACCATCCAGTCCAACCGCTAACCCAGCACTGCCAAGTTGCCACCAAACCATGTCCCTCAACACTAATTTCACTTGGTGTCTCGCCGTGCTCTTTCACCACCCCGTCACCCTTGTCTGACGGGCGCAGACCATACACAGGGACAGTGGCAGCGCACACTCTGCTGGCCTGTCATCTTACTGTCCCCTCCCCGGCCGCCCTGCCGCAGAGCAGCTCTCCCCATCCAGCTACCACAGAGCCACAGGACATTTTCAAAGAGCTTGCACCCTTTGCTGCTGCAGCCTTCCCTGGCTTTAAGTGACTCATTTCCCGGGAGCCACTGTGGATTCCTGAGATGGCCGGGTTTTCCCTCCTGAGGTGCCCAGAAGGTTGTGGTGGTGGTTGCGGATCTGCCCGGGTTTAGCCACCTTTCCTGCCTGCCTCAGCGGTTGCCCCCTCCCACGTCCCACCCCTAACCAGGACTCGGTGACTGGCTGTGCTGGTTTAGGGCAGTAGGTTGTGATGGGATGGACATGGTTTTTCATATCTGGAGAGACAGCATGAGATTCCCTGTTCTTCTAAGGCAAGCGCCATGGGTGCTCAGTAGGTAGGAAAAGGGTGCCCATCCACTAAGATCTCCTTCCAGCTCTGCTCCCTGACTGAGACTCTTCCTGGAGATCATGTGAGGAGCCATGTTATCCCTCTGTGCCTGAGCTTCCCACCAGTAATGGGCTCAGAGAATTCACTTGACCTGGGCATGCAAAATCTGTGCCTCAGGTACAGCTCATAAACGCTGAGCTAAGCCCAGAAGGTGCTTACTGCTGAGCTGCAGCTTGGAAGGAATAGGACTGATGCTACAAAGGCTAAGGACTGCACCTGCTGAAGTTGGTCACCATCATTTGAGCTCCTTAATTCGTTGTCCATTGATTTGTTCTGTATGTTTTATATGTGAAATAAAACTTCTCTCTATCTAGCCAGCACAGGAAGGATATGCTGCTTGATACCAGCAATGCTCCTCCAGTTTCCTAACTGAAACCTAAACTATTTTCTGAATATTTCAGTACTGGGCAGCATCAAGAAAGGCTGACTTATTAATGTGCACATCAAGAATTCGAAAAGAAGGGATGACATCCCGTCACTATTTAAATGATGGCACGAGCTCCCATGGAGGCTGGTGCGACCAGAATTTCACCAACCGCAGCTACTCAGCTGTCACAAGCTATCTATCTTCTCGTCATGCCACAGGCCTCTGGATTGCAGTCAATGGCACTTTGAGGAAAAGAAAAACAAAGTTAAAACTTGTTAAAACTCATCCTTATTAATCTCTTAAAAAGTGCTTAGACCTTGTAGTTTTACACGCTGAATGAGGCTTCATGGAAAACTTAGGAGGTACATTTCTTTTTCTGCCTTCTTTGGGACGGAGTG